GGTTTGATAACCGAATAATATGATAATCGTGTGGACATTTGTCGGTATAACGGTAGACGAAAGCTGGGTTTACGGCTACAATATTGAGACAAAAGTTCAGTCATCATAATGGATTTCCAAAAGATCTCCACGCCCCATGCCCCAAGAAAGCATGTCAGTCTCGATTCAATGTCAAAGTGATGCTCACGATTTTTTTCGACTTTAATTAATGGAAGTGTGCATTTTGATCTCAAGGTAAAACAGTGGACTGTCAAAGCGTTTTACAATAGTTACGTATTAAATTCTGCAAAAGAGACCAGAGTTGTAGAGAGACAACTATTGGTTCTTGCACCATGACAATGCAGCCGTACACTCCGCTTTGTCAATTTTGTACTAAAAATTATATTACTGCCCTCCCTCACCCTCTTTACTCGCCAGACCTGGCTCCTTAATCAATCGTAACTGCAGCAAACTGTAAGGACATATCATCAAATATAAACAGCACGGTCAGAACGAAAAGAACGGCCTAGATTTGAGCAGGATTATGTTCCCAGTTTGTGTCTGCAATAAGTTTATTAATACTTGGTTTGTCAAAATGAATCCAATATAGTTAATTTTTGCATAAATTTGAAGTATTACGTCTGATACTATATCACATAAAATACTTGAAATGTAATTCTATTGATAATATAATAGTTAACAAATACATTTTTTTATACGAATAAAAACAGGTGGATTTGATGAAGTGTTCTCTAACTTTTCCTATTTCTTCCTAAAAATAAATTTGTGAGGAGATAGTTCTCTATCCTTGAACTGTTTATTACAAGCTTTTATTTAACTTGCCTTGTTATTATGGGTCAAATCTTGCAACTGAATTTTAAAATAGTTGTCCCCAACCGATTGAGCTGAAATTTTGCATACATGTTTAGTTTGGATAACAATGCATGGTTATCTAAATGACGTCATTCTAAATCCAATATGGAAGATTCCCAAAGATAGTGGGCCAGTTATTTTTTATGCACCCCCATGATATGGGTATCAAATGAAAGGGTTTGCTGAGAAGAATATGAAAATAAAATAACATCACTAAAAGCTTGTTTAAACTTTTTTTTTTAATACATGAACTTATTATGACATTTTNAAATGAAAGGGTTTGCTGAGAAGAATACGAAAATAAAATGACGTCACTAAAAGCTTGTTTATTTTTTTTTAATACATGAACTTATTATGACATTTTGCTCTTCTTTACTTTTTTAACTACCAGATTTCAATTTTGGTTTTTTATTTTTAGGAAAAAGAACAGGTTGTTTGATTTGATAATTTGATACATTTTGTGGTGTTTATATTTTATTATTATTTTTTGTTGTGTAAATATTCCTATATTATTAACATAATTTCATAATATTATTATTTAATTAATTAAATTCAATTGCTGTACAATTTAGATATTAAATTTTAATAATTATTTTAGTATAATTGAATTAATTATTCCAGCAAGGTAAATAATTTAGTTAGAAATTCAGATGTTTTCTTTCTAGAGATGTATAACGCTGATTATGAATTTATAAACCTGTAACTTAACTGTAACTGTAAGATTAAAAAAAGTGAGTATTGATACAGAATCCAATCTAAACACTGCATTTTATTAATTTATAGCGAGATAAACTTTTTAAAGAGAACTAATTCTCTTATTCTACACTGACAGAACTAATTGATAAATTAAGATGAAGTGTTAGTGCTTCATATTTTTTCAGAAGTATCATGACTTTATTTTAAACACCCATTTTTAGAATAAAGATACATTAAAAGAAATAAATTGTGATATTTATAACTTATAGTTCTTCTTTCAAATGAAATTTTATTAACTATTAAAGTGTTTTGTTTGTTATTAAATTTAATTGGAATTGGATGAATATTTTATTGTAATATTTTTAAGAGTGAAAGAGACCTGTTGCTCATTGCAGGAACAGCATAAATCCAGGGGATTGTCTTGAAGACACGGTCCCGTCATTATTTACAGCTCCACGCATTCTTAGCCATAAGAATAGACCGCCTTGGTGATAAATTATTCACGGTTTAACCTCCCGTTACTTAATATACATCTAGTTCTGTTTTGTCTACCTATTTTAATCTGATAATTTGGGCGTTGATTTCAATTTAATTCTTATTTATTACATTACATGCAGGGTATATGACTTATTTATAATTACTAGGTTAATTATTTTAATAATCAGTCTGTTTTCAGAAATATGTCATAGGACGTTATAAATATTTGGGCAATTAAAAAAATATTGACATGGAAATAAAGCATAATTAAAAGTCAATACAGATTAAACGTCAAACATATGTAATCCCAGCTATAGGTCCAACAATTTTCAAATTAAATAATAGAGTAGAACACTAAAAGTTATAGGCACAGACATCGGCGCTTTGTTACCCTTGTAACACCTTACCTTACCTTACCTTATTTCGTATTACAGAACCTTCAAATGTGATTAAAAGCCTCATTGCCAGTAATTTTGTTTGTACCTAAAAGTAATTTTATTCCTTCGCGTTGGCAACTATAAATTTTGGTAAAATAAAAAATTGTTTAAACAGTAAGGTCAAGATTACATTAAAACATTGTTTTCTGTTTCACCGGTTGCTGATTGACGTAATTTTTCACATTTTATTTAACCCATCGGTGATCGCATTATCTAGAGCATAGACGCAACAGTTTAGGGATTTTTAACAGGGTGCCAATTGTTTAATGTTGGTTGCCTAAACACGGTAGTCACGAAAACATTGTAGTATTTATTCATTGCCACGAATATAATAAGGCTTTTTTCCAGAAGTGATAAATAATTAAAAAAACTTAACTTATTTTAACAATTAAATATTATAACTGTCAATATGATATGCGTTGGTTATTTTTTTTTTTTTTATTGTTACGATTTTCAGGAGATCTGAAGGCTCGGATTTTTTAGAATAATTTGTTCACGGTATTGGTATTACTGTAGCTAACGATGTATACTCGTACCTACATAACACTACCTACTGTCTTTTAAACCTTCGTTCATTAAAAAGCAAACTTGTTACCAAATGTTAAAGGCAAAAACTTGAAATATGAATTGAATGATTTTCATCGAAATTTTAATAATTTGCTTACTACCTGATAATAATTATCTCCCTAGGTGTAAGGATTCTCTTCTCCCTTTATATTTTATAATTTTTTTTATAAAGGCTAGTGTTATATACACATAAAAGTGCTTACACGCGTCCAAAAAAAAAAAAGAAAGTGGTAAATAACAATACACATATTGATATCAATTAACTAACTGTTATACAAATATACATAAACAACATAATTAAAATAAATAGGATAAACGACATACTAAGATTAATGATAACATTCATATTCGAGCTAAATTACTGTCAATAAAATCTTCATAACCATAAAAGGCATTTTTTATTAAGTATTTTGTTATCCTTGATTTAAAATTATATTCATTAAGAATTTGAATTTGGTGAGATATTATGTTAAAAAATTTGATGGCCCAATAATTAGTACCGATCCGCGTTTTACTAAATCTTAGAAATTTATTACATAAGTATGTGCTCTTTCGGGTATTATAAGAGTGAGTCTCACTTCTGATTTCAAAATTATGTATGTTTTTTGACATAAATAAGACATTAAAGTATACAGTGTAGGAAAGCGCCGATGGTCTATCACAAGTTACGTGAGAGCGATAAAGTAAGACATAGAAATCCATGCGATAGAGAAGGATGGCTATAATGAAGGCGTGTCATAGTCACCGCTCGTTTCGCCCTTCCACAAATAAGAAGTGGATCTTATTTGTGGAAGGGCGAAACGGGCGGTGACTATGATACGCCTTCATTATAGCCATCCTTCTCTATCGCATGGATTTCTATGTCTTACTTTATCGCTCTCACGTAACTTGTGATAGACCATCGGCGCTTTCCTACACTGTATATGCACAGGGTACAGTTAGTATGTTCAATTTAGAAAACTCTCTACAGTAATCTCTAAAACCAAGGTCAGATATGATTCTAATAATTTTTCTCTGAAGAATAAAAACCTTTTTCATAGAGGGAGCATGACCCCATACTAAAATAGCATACGTTATGAATTTTTGTTTCCTATAAATTATATCTGCTATGAATTACAGAGCAAATATTCGACAACATTAATTTTTAGATATTTTTCTGTCTTTTGTGAAATATACATAGTACCTATGTACTATGGATTTCGAGTAGAACAGATAGATCTTTAGTGTTGATTAGACTGTCATACAGGGGGGTTGGAAAATTTATTTATTTTTTCATTTACAGGGCAAATTCTAAGCGTAAAAATAAAAGAAAGGCGTGAAGAAAAATGTTTTCCAAGAGTCTAACATCTTTTGATTCCTTATTTCATCTTAAAAAGAGAAGACCAATACAAATTTTACATTTTTTAACAATTTGATATTATCAACTGTTTTTTTACTATGACGTGATATATCAATTGTTAAACATTATTAAAATAAAAATGTATACAGGGTGTTTCAAATTTGATGTTATAACACTGCTATTACGGAAATCGAATAAGAATAGAGAGATAGTCATATTTGAGTAAAGATGCGCAATTTAGTGAACAATAATTTACTGGAGATAAATCGCAAGCACCTGTGTTAGCTTCTATTTTTTTTTTAAATGCATCTCTGTATTTCAATTTTATCGTTTCAGAGCTCTATTTATAAAGCTAATCGAATAAGGTGTTAGCTTTTCAGCGTAACGTTTCATCTTTAAAGCAATTCTCAATACAGTTTTTTTAAAAACAAATTTCAATATTTTTGCGCATTGAATTCCTAATTCCTTTCCGAGTCCGGTGGTCATTAAATTGTGTACCTTTGCCCGCCATTTAACCACTTCTCTATTTGCAGGGTTTTCGATATAGCAAGTTATAACATCTAATTGGAACACCCTGTATACATACCAATTAAATCAACTGTAGATTCGGACAGTATTTAGTTCTAATATAGTGCTCTCTCTTCTAGGACAGCAGCAACAGTTCCATTTTGCCTTTGGCCAGCGGCCGTTCCCTTTTGCAGCCTCTGACCCCTTATCAGGCTTTAGAATGCCACCCATAGGAAATTGTAACAGTAAGTACAAATATTAATCACTTTTCTAAAATATTAAATTACTTTAAATAATGAATATTTAGTCGTAAGAGAGACTGGTTAAAGATATTTTTTTTTACCACAAACAAAGTATCAGTTATTGTAGGAAGAGCACTTGTCGCATTTATAAACATGTGAGCAATTAATACAAAAATGATTTTTCTTTAATACAAAAAATATTTTAAAGATTTCAATGAAAAACAAATTAAAAAATAAACTACACTATAAACGCTTATTGCATAAAAGTCAATTTTCTCTTTTGACACGACCTTAAACAGAAACTTTTTGCTGTTAATAGCCCTAAAACTACAACTTGACCAAATTCATCCTGTCTGCGAGTTTCAGATGCGCAGTGGCAATGTTACCAGACTAGCACCGGAGCTCATTCTCTGTATGAACATGGAGTCTGAGAAAAAATTGTTTAAACTAGGGAATTTAAATCACTTAATGAAGCGTAAAGTGTTACGTGTACAAAGTCATGAAATTATATATATTTAAATTTGTTACAGAAAAAACACAAAATTGCGACTAATTTCCTTAGAAAGAATGCAAATACAGCTGGCATTAGTGTGAGTATGATAAAAAATACTGTGAAGCAAGAGAAAATATTATAAATAATGAAAACATAATCGCCAAAAGCAGATTTGGATGACTTTGATCGTGTAGTGTAATGTTTAAGAAAAAACAGTACTTTGATGTTTCCATAGCATGTTCCATGAAAATGTGTTATATACTGGCAGCAGAGAAAGTTTGTGTAAGCTTTTGTACGCCATAAGACCAACCGAAGTCTATTAATGGAGCGTCATGATGTTTAAGACTTTTGTTAATATTTTTAAGAAGACTGAAACCGTGAAGAGGGTTGAATTTATATGAGAGACGTACATTTTTCGTACACCCATGAAAATACTTGATGTGATGAAAGCAACAAAAGACTGTCGGATACCTCGTATTAAAGAAGAACGTTTAGATAATATAGTTCATACTGAATAAGAAAATGGTTTTATACCAAATGCGAAACTAATTTTTAATTGAAAAAAAACACAGGACTATCATTATGTCATGTACCACAGACAAAATAGCTATCGCCACAGACCGCTACTGGAATAGGCCAGCAGTTTTAAATTTCCGAATTGCCGGTAGAGTACACCACCAGCAGAATTTTAGGAAGAATCAAATGCAGCGGCCCGTATACCTACGCGTATCCTAGCAACATATCAATAAGACTTTGGTAATGTTGCCAGGCGTACTTACGGATTTCTTTTGTACACTTTTTTATCAATATCTGTTTTTTGCGTTACTGTATTTACTTCAATGTATGATGTAGGTATTGATAAAAATGTTTTTAAAGAATCAACGAATATCTATGTATGTATCATATGATATTCTGCAGTGGTGTTACAATTAAGTTATTTAATCATAATTTCGTTAATTAGCTACCTACTATTTTCATTTTTTGGTATTGAAATACTGCAGAAAATATATTTCCAAATAAACAAAATTCGTAATAATATTTTAAACAGCTTGTAATATAATTTTTTTAATATTTGATGATGACGATAAATTTATTTAATATACAAGGTGGGTTATTAGTACGTCGCGGAATGTAGGTACAGGTTTTTTTTTGTATTTTGACATCCACTTATAGGTTTAATAATTAAAGATAGAAAGAAACTTTAAATACAAATGTACGACTTTTCCTTTATTTCATTTGACATCAAAATTTACTGGCATAAAATATATATGTTTAAAATAAAAAAAATCATTAAAAAAAATTAAAATTCATCCTTATGAAAATAACAAACAACGCTTTTTATAACTAACCTTTACAACAACATAAGGAGAATAACTAAAAACGAAATAACATTAATATACCTACAATTTTTACAAATCAACATGCAAGTGATTGTGATGATACAGTTGAAAATATGTTTCAATTTACTATTAATTGCTTCAAAAACAAATTCAAAATTATCAAGCATTTCGTCCTTTTTTTTTTTTTCAATACTTGCAAATTTTCAGGTAAAAAAAATATGTCTAAAGGACTGACAATGAGATCGGGGCTGTTTTCTGGCCACCTAAGGTTTCTAATAATATTTTTTAGTGTTCGTTGACGGGATTCTTCCTCCAAAATAAATTTGCCAATATTCCTGAAGAACTTTTGCACATTATTGTTATTTGAATAATACAGTTAATTATGTTTTATTTTTCGTCATCAGAATAACCCATTGTAATTTTTTTAATTTTTTAAATTAAAATGGGTTATTCTAATAATGATAAATCCCATGTATTTTTAAAAGAAGGTTCGTTTCTGTCGTTTTTGTCTGATTGTGTGCGAGAGAGATAGAGTTATAGTGTGCGATAGAGATAGAGTGACTCTGTCCTCATAGAGGGTTTTTCTCTCTCTCTCTCTCTCTCTGCTGTCTTCAGGAGTCTCCCCAGCAATTTCAGGACACCTAGGGAGGGAACGTGGGGTAGAGCGCGTGGCCTTGTTAAGCCTTCGTTATCGATCTATGATGTCATACAGTATAAGAAAAAAAAACGGTTTTTGCTCGTAACTCGGATATGGCTGGAAATATAAACAAATTTCCCCTTGGTTCTGAGTAGAGTACTCGGTGGGTGACGCAGAGCGGGGTGTCACAATATATGAAAAAAAAACAGTATTTGCTTGGACTCTAAGTATCAAAAAATCTCCCATGATGAACGAGTGAAAAACGTCAAAACCCGCATGTCAAAAAAAATCGGGACCAACGGTGTGTGACAACATAGGATAAAAAAGTGTTTATAACTCGGAATCGAAAAAATAACTGAAAAATCTCAACTGTTCCTTCTGCGTTGAATGCAAAAGGTCCGAAGTCCGTATATCGAAAATAAATTTTGGAAACAAGAGGTGTGTGACGTGTTATAGTAAAAAGACCGCATAACTCCCCTGGTCCTGTATGTCAATTCTGCGTTGAATGGAAAAGGTTCGAAGTCCGTATCTGGAAAATAAATTTCGGAAAGAAGAGGTGTGTGAGGTGATACAGTAAAAAAGGTCTTATAATTCGGAAACGGTGCGTTGAATTGAAAAAATAATTAAAAAAATCTCCCCACTCCTCTGGTTCTGATTGTCCGTTCTGCGTTGAATGGAAAAGGTCCTAAGTTAGTATGTCGAAAAACAAAAAAGTTAGTCAAAAATTGCAACAGCAGTAGCGAACGCATTATCTTATCTCTGTATTGATTGCTGATTTGTTGTTTTTTTTTTTAAATAAATTTCGTATTCAACTACTCCTTGAGATTGCAGCAATTTTACATTCTGTTAATTTTTTTGAACACCTTGTGTCACAAATATGAGCACTACCAATGGCATCTATAATATGCAACACTTGTGTCAATAATTATTTTACCTATCTAAAGAAATTAATAATAAGAGTACCCATTTAAGGATACACAACCTGTATAATGCAATTTTTTTAAACATAGGTGTTATCTAATATCGCACCATATTGGAAGTCGACGCACAAATCTAAAAATATTAATTTCGAGTTTTTTTGAATTTTCCCATTCCAAGGTGATATAAAATAAATAATTAATTAGGTAAATTCATAGTTTTTATTCTAACTTGATTTATTTTATTTAGCATTTAAGGCAAATGTGATTTCCAAACAGAAGATAAGTTCCATATCTCTTTAATTACATAATTGAATGCATTAAATTTATTTAGCAGTTATTATTTGGCAACAAAGCTACCGCTGGAACTGCCGCCTATTATCAAGTAGAAGAGTTACCACGCTAAATTTCATTGATGGAAGCCGGCTAACAAAAGCCTGCATCCATTTCAGGTTGCCAATTTCCAGCATTTAAGAAGCAGTCTGTGACGATACGCTATATTGTCTGTGCATGTTACTGCATGTGTTACTATGAAAATGAAAAAAAATGGTTATGAACGAAACTTATACTAAATTTGCTGCCATGTTTTTTATTAGTGATTGACAATAACCATGCCCAATTGACCATGCCACGTCCCCATGTGGAAAAGATGAAATGAAGCAATAGTTACGAGACAATGGAATTCATTTTGCGGATAATATGTTAAAATTAGCTATATTACGTTATAAAAAAGCATAACCCAGCATTTCAAATATGTGAAAGAAAGTACAGAAAGAAAATCGTATATTCTATCAGTCTACCTCCATACTACCCTGACCTGAACCCTATCGAACTTGTTTAGGCATCATTCAAACAAATGTATATTGATAGTCAAAATGTCACTTTTACTTTGATGAACGTAGAAAAGTTGTGCAATGAATTTTTCCATAAATTTACATTACAAAAATGGAAGACTAGCTGGGAACATGCCAAAATTGAATTATTTTAGAACCTGTGCTCTACCTAGCTATTAATGAAATTATTATAGGTAAACCTTCAAGATGATGATGAATCGGGTGAACGACAGTGAAAGTGAAGAAGATTAGCTACAATAAAAACTAATCCATATAAATATTAAGAATTTCATTGTCCATGATCATTAAATAGGATCAACTACTTTGAAATAGTAAATAAATAGGGTTGAGTATAGATAATTTGGCCATATATTTTGCATTGTTTGAAGTTACTAGCACGGCTTTTGATTTTCTAAACCCCAGATTTATCCCGTCGAGATGAGATTCAGCATTCAAATGGTCTCTGTAAACAATGTATCCTATATCGTCATCCAGTTAGCATGCTCGTCTAGGATTGGAAGGATATCGGGTCTTCGTCCAACTCCATGGTTGAGCCGTATTTCATTAATGTGATCCAGAAATCCGTCTATATCCATAAGGCCAGATGATAAATGTATCTGATTATTACTCATTAGAGTTGCCCATTTCAGATATTTGCCAAGGCTGGGGTTAGGGGTGAACATACAGTTGCTCCTTCAATTTGTTTGTAAAACTTATGTTTAAAAGAAAAGAATGTCGATCTGATGCACCCTTTTGCCAAGTTTAAATTATTATCCTTCCAAAGATCTTCCAAAGCTGCTTTAATTGACACATTTTTCAACAAAGCCGTCAGGTCAAAACTCACTAGAATATCATCTGAATACTGCTGGACTTTGATTTTGTTGATAAAACCTTCAAGGCACTAGATCTCAAATTTTATGTGATATAGACGTTGAGCCACAGAGCATGTGCGGTTGCTTCCGCGCGAGTGAATATAGCCTACCAATTTAGATTCGTCATGAAGGCAGCATGAATGTTTGGGATGATACTTCGTAAAATTCGGTAGCTTAGTGGCTTAGCTGCTTTGGAATCCATATCTGAAAAAAAAGGGAAAAATTAAATATAGGCAAATTTGAATAACAAGACTGGTATTACTATTATATTATTATATTATTAAATTATTAAATTATTATAATGGTATAAATATTTTATTATTATAATTTTTGCCAATACACCTAAATGGAATTTGGCCGGCGACCATGTTTGTGATGTCATAACGTCACTAAGTTACCGAATTTTACAAAGTATCATTACAAACATTGATCCTGGCTTTATATTGGATTGACATTTGTATGATACTTTTACTTCTTACAAGTAAAACCTGACCTTATGGCTGATTTACATTTTGTTAAGTAGCAAGTACAGGTAAGAAGTGCAGGTGTTAAGTGATAAGTAAAATCAAAGTGTAAACGCTGACGTTGTTAAGTGATTAGTGCAAGTGCGAAGTGCAAGTGCAAAGTGAAGTGAATAGAAGCGCGGTCTATTTTCTCTGTTAAGTAGCTAACCCCGCACACCCCCGTACTCCCCGCAATCGTAGCGCCGCCCAAACGTGGTCCGCCCGTACTACATTATTTTTGACAAGTACATAAGTACGATCGATATTCCCATCATGAAATGGACTGAAGGAACTATACATACAGGGTCGGAAAGTCCACATTGTTCATCGGCCGTTACGTGAGAACGATAAAGTAAGTCATAGAAATCCGCGCGATAGAGAAAGATGGCTATAATGAAGGCGTCTAATAGTCACCGTCCATTTCACCCTTCCACAAATAAGAAGTGGATCTTATTCTGTCCTAACTGTATCTCCTCTACATGGTTATCATTCACACAGTAACAATATTCCAATAATATTCCCTCTATTTAAAAATTGCATCAAATTTTCAATGCGATGTTTCATCTTCTTAATTTTTTAAATACAAACCTATTAATGCTTTTATACTGTTTCCTGTTTTCAAATCATGGATTATATTATGTTAGTGATGTGTCGTTTCGAGCTGATAATTCATCGTCAGTATCATTTTTCAAAAAGAATATTGGCGTTTCTTTTAATTTTGTAATAAAAAATCTGTAGATATTAAACGTAACATTTCGGACTTTCAAAATAAATTGTAAAATTGCATTTTGAATCTATGAACTGCCAAAAAGAAAACAAAAGTATTTTTTAACACCTAGTGTTTTAGTTGCTTCCATTTCATTAAAAAGGCAATGATTATTAAAAACAAAAGTTACACTTGTGTTAGCCGTCTAAAGCTGAACATCTAATTTAAGACTACCCCTTTATTTTCCCCATGGGATGAAAATTCTAAATGAAAACAAAACCCATTCATTTCGTTGTAAACTCTGTGAAGTGATTTGAATGCAAAGTGTTTTGGTATAGAAATGCCGGTATCCACTCTAATCTGCTTCCACATAAATTAAACGCAAATACAATGAAAATTCAGTACCAATGGAACTACATTCGGAATGCTTTATCAAAAATGCAGCCGACTTGACTGGAAATGAACACATAATTAGTTATATACAATACAGTTTAATTTAATTTTGTGTATACAAAACGGAAGCAAAATTTACATATTGTATGTTTACAAATTACAAATATTTATATTTAAAATGTAGTTAGGAGATACCTATATCAAATTTTAACTAATATAATACATATACAGGGTAGCCCATCGAAAACGTACCGCAAGGCATTACAGGGTAGTAATGAACTTTTCGGCAAAATCCAAAAACAGGTAAAGTTTGCTTCTGAGATTTCTTTCTCTGGGGGCATATTAAAAGCAAAGTTTACAGCACTCCACCTGATACCTTGGAAGATCTGCGAGGACGAATCATTAATGTATGTCGCGAAGTAACACCGCAAGTGCTCCAGAATGTTCGACAACGGTTTGAAGACAACCTGTATCATTGTATGCAAGTTGGCGGACAACATTTTCAGCATTTACTTGACTAATACCGTAAGTTTTGAAGTAAAATTAAATCGATTTTCGCATTTCTCGTCAAAAATATTGTTCGTATTTTCAAAGCTGCATATTTTCTAAAATAATGGATCGATTTTCAAAAAGTAAGAATCGATGTATATAGAATTAAAAGCCCTTTCTAATGACCCCCCCACTTGACCCCCATTCCCATTTAAAAAAATTTGGGGGATGGCACCCCCACTTAGGGGGTTGAAGATTTTGCTATGCTTTTTGCGCCAAAAGTTCTCCCCCTCAGAAACAAATTTGACCTGTTTTTGGATTTTGCCGAAAAGTTCTTTACTACTCTGTAATGCATTGCGGTACGTTTTCGATGGGCTACCGTATATATAAACCAAGGGACTAATGTACATCTTTTAATTTTAACAGAAAAATTGCCTGAGACAATGGAAAAATGACTGATCTGAAACAATACTTAAAACAGTTCGTCTCTTATTGTTCATTATACTACCCATTGGATGGAGTAACACGAATATCTTCAATTCGTATGAATATTGAAATATTTTGACTAGGAGCTAGGAACATGCGCAAAATAAATGCTATAGGTGCTTCCCAAACACCAACCACTAGGGTTTACAAGCTTTCGTGGCAGTCGTCAATGAATTAACAATTTCCCAGCTGGTTGCCATGCCATCAGTTTAAACTTCTTGGCATTTCAACCGACATAACGTAGTCTTCTTGAGAAGAAACGCCGAAACTGAAGATTAATTCCTCTGGCCGGTATCGTCATAATCTTCTAACAAACGCATTACTTGACTATTTGCATACGATTAGAGTATGCAGAAGCAGAAACTCTGAAACTGAAGATGGAGATTAAATATTTTTCTTGGTCCTCTTTGTCTTTATAGTGAAAAACGAGTGTCAGAAATTTATAATCTCTGTGTTATATTTTCATAATTGTAATCTAAAAAGCGTCTCGTACCAATTACATACTAATAACAATTTCATAGAGTTGTGAGTGTTTCTAGTTACATTTAATGAAATTAGTTTTATTTTAGATAGATTTAGAATCACACAAATGAAAATAAAACAGGTCTCAGTGTAAAGTCTTACGTTCACCGATTTTACCACATCAAATAAGCTTTTTACACAAGTAATTTTTTACTGTGGTGAGAAATAAATGTATAAAGTGTATGCAAAACATTGTGAAAAACTATATCCTTGTAGTTTATACTACCAAATGTAGGTTAATAGACTTAATAGACAACGTATCAAAAAAATATAATATAACTTATCCCTCTAAGGGTTTTTACACCACCTACAGACAGTCTACTTACCCCGGTAAGTTACACATTTTTCTATTCAATACTTTTGCCTGAATTTTGTTAGCGGGGGTTTTTGGGGTCTGAATCCGAAAATTCCTGAATAAAAGATACAATATTGGATGTAAAAATCGAAGAAGCATTTAAAATTTGAAGATTATGGTGGAAACTTGTTACTCGTGGTTTTCAAAGTCGCCAATCACGAATATAAGGCTTTAATTCGGAAATTCTTAAATCTAAAATGGCGGACCCGTTATGGTGGATTGAAAAATACCATAGAAATTGGTATTCCCATCCAACGAGATGCGTTATGCATGTTTAAAAGAATAAGTCATTTGAGTAAAAATAGGCAAACGTCTAAAAATGAGACACATGAAGAAGGTTATAAAAATCCCATATCTACGTCATCATTTTCTATTGGTTTCAGAATGTTAAGTGTACTGAAAATTTATCATTTTTAAAACGTTTTCACATTTCTGTGCTATTTCGTTCCCTTCATAAACAACGTTATTTATTTATTGCATACCAAATATTATTATTTTGATTTATTGTGGGTAAAGCAGTTGATGAACATATCGACCACGTTATCCACAAAGCCTACTGCGATGCTTCGTAAACGAGACATAAAACCCCGCAATGCAATTACAATATGCATACCTAAATAAAACAGTAACTTTTGAAATATTTTATGGATAAATAAATAGAATATAGTTACTGAGTTGTTTTTTTTTCTAGAATCCTAGATTTTCTTCAATTTAACTATAATAAATTATTGTCTTATCAATAGCTAGTCTTAAACTGACAAAGTGAAAAATAACTCATTTTGGGAAATATAAAAAAAAACATTTCCTGTTTGTGTGAAACATTGATTGCACAAAAAATAGAAATAAATTACACCCATTCCAGAAATGTCAATATTTTTTATGTAAATCTTTGTTTAACTATTATTTTTAATAACAATTTTTATATTAAATTAGGATTTTGTTGTATTTCAATATTTAAAATATCTTAATAATTGGTACAAAGAGATCAATCGGGGGGTTGTTTTTGTAAATTTATTTTTTCCTAATGAGAAATAGATAGTGTGACATATTTCTTTGTTAGAAATATAAACATTTTTACATCATGATTTTCTTTGTTCCAGATATGCCTCAATTCGGTTTAAGTAGTGCAAACTCCCACTGGGGGTACGGAGCAGCAGGAGCATACTCACCCTATTTCACATCGAGTACGCTGGGGTCTTGTGCAGCACCCACCTCGCAATTCAATACTCCCGCCCTTGGATTCTCTGGAAGCGCTCCAGATCAGTCATCTACACAAGATGCCTTTAGCACTAGCTCTGCCGTGAGTTCCTGTGAGTATTCAATGCCTTGTATTTATGTAATTGTCACAATTATGAAAGTCACAGACTTATAAAACTTATACGTCCAACAACAACTTACATGATACACCCTCACCGCAATTTAGTGCAAGAAAGAGCGAAAACTGAAACATTGTCCAAGCAAATGTTCTTTAATTCTTCCTTACCCACGGAAAAGACGTCTACTTTTCCTAAACGAGTACGATATAGGGTGGACTCAAATCCATGGTCTCAGCACCGACGATTTATTTTTTTTACTTTATTTTTATTTTTATTTAAGACATTTAATTTAACATTCTGTATCTCAAAATTTAAGGGTTTGCCAACACATGCTTATATAAAATATTTCGTTAATATGTGACGTTTAATCCTCCATTAACATTTTGTCATGTATTATACCTTCTATAAAAAAATAAGCAAATAGGACATTGCAAAAAAACAAATCACTAAGAAAAGCTAAACCATATTTATTGATTCAACGCAAACATTTTAAACTGATTGCTCTATTGAAGTATAAACGCAGAAAAGAACCCAATGCAACAGTATACAGGGTGTTAAAAAAAAAGAGTTTAAAATATTTCAGGCGGTAATAGTATGAACCAAAATAAGCAGAAAAGTCTTAATAAACATGGGTCCGCAAAGTAACGGTTGCTGAGATATGGACCACTATTAGTTTTTCAAACATTTTATTTTATTAGGAATAAACCGACAAAGGAAGCTTTTAACAAACAAAAAACAAAGTTACAGAAGATGTTCAAAGTGCCCTCCGTCCATTTCCAAGCAGGCACGACATCTTCGTCTCAACGATATTCGAACTCTTTCGAAAACACCCTCCTTGGTTTGGATTTCTTGACACTTTTGATTAATCCGTAGCTGCAGCTCTTCCAGGCTATTTACAGGAGTACCATACACTAATGTCTTCAAATATCCCCAAACAAAGAAATCTAGAGGGTTCAGATCAGGCGATCTTGGAGGCCATAAAACAGGTCCGGCCCTTCCTACCCATCTATGTGGAAAAGTTTGGTGTAAATGCTCTCTAACGGCCATGGAAAAATGAGCTGGAGCACCATCATGCTGGAACCACATTTGTTGCCTCTGATTCAAAGGAATGTCTTCCAAAAACTCATACAGTGTGTTCTGCAGAAAGTTGAGGTAAGCAGCGCCTGTTAATCGGTTTGGTAAAACAACAGGACCTAGAAACCTGTCACCTACAATACCCATCCAAATGTTTAATGAAAAACGTGCCTGATGTCCAGATTCTATTAGAGCATGAGGATTTTCGTCGGCCCAAATATGCGTATTGTGAAAATTAAACACTCCATTTCTTGTGAACCCGGCCTCATCAGTAAAAAGAATGTTTGCAAGAAAACGAGGGTCTTCAGCATCATGACGTAGAAACCAGCGGCAAAAAACCAAACGTGCTTGATGATCATTTATTGGATTTAAGGCCTGTACTCGTTGCACATGGTATGGATAAAGCAGTTGCTCGTGAAGGATTCTCCAAACAAGAGGACCACTAATTCCTACCTCGGCTGATATTCTCCGCACACTCGTACCTGGATTCTGCTCTACCAGTGCTAGAATTTCTTCTTCTGCTCTAGGAGTGGATACCGACCTTGGTCTTCCGGATAAATGGCACTGTTTGCTCAAGGAACCGGTATCACGCAATCTTTGGTGAATTCTTCCAAACATGCGTTGTGAAGGAATCTGGCGATTTGGATAAGCGTCAACATAAAGACGTCGCGCTTCGGTGGCGTTCCCATTAGCACGACCATACATGAAATGCATGTCTGTTAATTCTGCGTTAGAGTAACCAGCCATAGCGAAAGAAAACTTGTGCACTGAGAACAACTGTCAAATACGTACTGTTTATTTCACTAAACATCAACCAACTATTATAAGAAAATACACAACGTTTTTGCAAAATAAAAAAAGGGGCTAAAAAACATAAAACATTCCATATCTCCGCAACCGTTACTTTGCGGACCCATGTTTATTGAGACTTTTCTGTTTATTTTGGTTCATACTATTACCTCCTTAAATATTTTACACTCTTTTTTTAACACCCTTTATTTATAATAAAATTTGAGCTACAATATTTTTTCACGTATTGTTTTTCATACCATACAAACTGCATTAAAATTATATTCTCTTTTGTTTCAGTACTCCCGGAAGCAGCTTCCACAGATCTGGATCAACACCTAGGTCTAGTTTCTTCCCAAAATCATTCAAACCACTCCCAAACAGTCGCTCATACGTCGTCACTTTTAGTTCCTCGATACTCTTCTAATCATACTGATTTTGCTCTTTCCGGTCCAAGGTCGTTATCAGATAATTCAAGTGCTGCGGAAAGTCCTGTCCAGGACGACCTGTTGTCTTCACAAACATCATTGGGTGTTAATCACGTCAACAATTCTAATTTTCCGTTGCATCAAAACATGCCTCAAAGTTCATATGCATCCAGCAACTGCAACAATTCCATTTATCCAGTACTTCCCGGCTTGCTTTATTCTCAATTGTATTCAGCTGCTAACCAAACCCATAATTTTCATTCTCTGCATTCGCATACGACCCATGCTCAACATAACGACTTGCAAAGCGTCATGGATCACATTTCTACTAGTAACCAGAGGCAAATGGTGAATGGGAGCACAGATTTGCTTCTGACCAACAATGGCACTTGTGCAGCTGCAGCTGCACGGCAGGATGACGGTCACAGTCGCGGTCTGAGCACGAATGGAGCTCAACGAGGACCAGGGCAGAATGGGGATGCAGTGGTTTGGAGGCCCTATTAAAATTATTTATTTTTTGTTTATTTTTATATCCATTGCATTAACTACACCTTTTCCAGTAAAATTCCTGAATTTCAGAAAAGATTGCAGGTTAGTCATATCTATTTCAAAAACGTCAATATTGTTTCATAATTCATAAGTTTAATTTCAGAAAACTTCGTACAAATCAAAACACTAAAAAAAGAATTCGTTGTATAAGAGTTCACTTTGATTTAAAAAAAAATGTATAAAAGTGAAACGAACTTGACGGAGAGTTTTTATGACGTAGACTTTAATTGTATGATGTACTAACAGGAAACAAAATAAAAATCTTGTACCATTGTTCTTCCCCCTTTGTTTAGAAAAAGGGAGACAGAGAAGAATTACTTAAATAAGAAGTTTTTACAATAATATTGAATAGACGTCATAGTTTCAGTGTCAGTGGACTATTAATGAAATAAAAATATTTTAAATCAAATATGTATGTAAAATTGTTTGTACAGGATGTGCCAAATTCTAAAATTTTTGTCGATTTCTCATATTTCCCGAAAACATATAAAAACGGTAGAGTTGAAACATCATAAGCTCAATTTTTGAAAATAATTGAAGTCAAAAATCACATCTCGATATCTTGATCTATTTAAGATACAGGGCGTTTCTTAGTTTTGGAAGTTTTTCTGCAACATAGAATAGCTTTTACATTTGGATTTTTTTTATTTTTTTAAAGTAACTCTTCTTCAGTTTTTTGCTTCTTGTGTAGAATCCAGTGGCGGGCGCTATATTTTTCTTCAACTTCTGTTTTCAGTTACAGCCCAAACTTTCAAGGTAACCCCGTATATTTCTATTTTTGAAACCTGCTTAAAATTTCCTTTATTTTTTTGTTATTTAAGCTTCTTCAACTGTGCAATAGATATCCACTGACATATGCATCGATGAAAAAAATGCATGACACTGACCTGGATCATAAAATAGTCGAATTTATTATTACATTTTTTAAAATATTTTTACCTACAATATTTTTCTTCTATAAACATCATGTATTATACACCTTTTGAAAGATTTCAAATGACAAGACGTGATGACAAATGACGTTTATTAATATATTAATTTGGGTTGTAACTGAAAAAAAACTGAAGTTATAGACAAATATCGTCTACGCCACTAAATTCTACTAAAAACTGAACAGAAAACCTCATTAATATATTAAAAAAATTGCATATACAAAAATTATTTGACATTACAGAAAAACGTCCTGTATTTTTTAAATGAATTAAGATATCGAAACGCGGTTTTTGTCATTAAATTTCTCCCAAAAATTGTTTCCCTGACTTTTTTCGTTTTTTTTTTTCGAGAAATACGAGAAGCCGCTTAAAAATATCGAATTTGGCGTACTCTGTAGAGTTTACATTCAACGTAAAATAATAGTATTCGCTAACAAAACAGTGCACATTTTTGAAAACACATTGTGAAATTCGTATGATACGTCCTTTCTTTGGAATTATGTAACTATTCTGAACTTCAATTTAAACTTTTTGAAATAAAATTTACTGATCTGATTACAACTAATAGGTAAGTAAGTACGTCCTGAAATACATATGGAAAAGGTGTAGATTTTCTTAAATGGCTATTTTCAATTATTTATTTGACAGTTGCAGCCACACTAGGTTCTTATTCACAAATTTATTTAATTTTTTTTTTTTCAAAAGAGACTGCAAGAAATTTCACATTTACAATAATCTTTAAAATTAGAAGTAAATGAACACAAAACTTGACTAATATTTTTTTGTTAATAATTTATTTGAAAAAGTTGGTGGCTTTCAAATAAAAAATTATTTAACGAAAAGCTAAATTTTTTGAGTTAGTTATAATTAGTGTTTCTTTTATTTTGCCTTCCAAGGCGAATATAGTAAACGAAGTGAATATAACGGTTACTGTCGAATTATTCGTTATTCGGAAATTTCGTCTATATTTTGACGAACGAAAAATTTATCTCTAAAATCAAAATAGACTTTGTACTGCCACATACGTTATTGATAATTTTTTAACAAACTTTCGTTGATGCATTAAACGAAATAATTCATTCGTCGTGTTCATTCGCTGGGTGCATGCACGTCATACAGGGTGTTTTGAGAGTGAGGTTTTAATTCTAACAGCTGTCTATTTGCAATAAAATTGAAGAATATAACATACATATGTGACTAAAGCAATTTAGAATTTTAAAAATATTTGTCTGTTCCATAACAAATCTTGTTTTAGATGTGCCATCGTGAAAAACGCATCGGTCTTTGTTGGCGTCTTAAAATTACAATTTTATGTCAAATGTTAAATTAGTTAATAAAAAAGAGATTTAGTTAATAAAAAAGAAATTTAGTTAGCAGTATATAATAATTGTAAATACTGTTAATGTTTGTTACCTTCTGTAGGTACCTATAGATGTTGAATGGGAAGGTGACTTTAAAATTATAATAAATGTCCAAATTTGTCCTCTATTTCTTCAACGCAAAATCGTGATCAGCGTATTCAAGATTCGAAACTTCCTGTTGACGAATTATCATTGCTGGGTGTTCGATTCTTTTACACTAACTACCACAAAAAATTTCTAATGTTCCCAAAAATGTATCGGTTTAGGTCTAAAGATTAGGCACGGCATAAGACTGATCCATGGCATCCGATCCACCTACCAAAAAGTATCGTTTAAAGAATGTCCTAATTCGCCTCAGAATTTGATGGATCACCATCACACAAAATTAACATGCCCTATTGAAAATTAAGTGGTAAGTAAGTACAGGTAAATTATTTTGTAAAAATTACAAATAGTGGACACCAACTTACATTGAATAGAAGATCAATTAGGATACCATTAACAAAGCTCGCACATAACTTAACTGAAAATATTTACGGGAAATGCATTTCTCCGGACCTCATGTGTACAACATTTTGATGACATTTCCCGTAAATTAAAATAATGTCAAGTTCGTTATTATTGTGTACTATTTTGGCAAAATTGTTTAGCTATTACTACTCACTGGAAAAGACAAAATTAACAGTAACCCATCAAAAACTAGAACCAAAACAGCGTAAGGCAATGATAGAACAAGTAGATCCATCTAGGAAGTAAGGAAGGGCAACGCTAAACTACAGCAACTTCCTTTAACTTTTCGCATTAAAATATCACGGAGAACATGTAAACATCAGAAAATGCACCTTTCCTCTTTTATCCAGCAAAGTAAAGATACTCAATAATTGTGATTAATTCATGTGTTAATAGTTTCCTAAAAGCATTCTGCGGGGTGTGATTATATTATTTATTTTTATTTATTATAAGGTAAAAATATGTTTTTTTCCTTATTTTGAATGTATTCCAGTTGCCTTATACCCTGAAGAAAAATTGATCTAGTGAAGAGATATTGTTTCTTACTTGCTTAATTTTCTAAAATGCTAGAAAAAAAATTGTAAGTATAAATGCCTCCTTAAAACGAAAATGATTATTAAAATGTTAGAAAGCGACAAAACACACAATAACAGCAAGCTAGCACTGACAACGCAAAGCTTTCTGTATAGTTAACTACAGAGTAGGCGCCAGAAATCTCATTTAACTTCAAATATTAATATCGCTGTTATTATTACTTTTATTAGTGTGATTTATTGTCAACAACATGGAGCATGTTTTGCTTCAATTACAATCTCTTAAAATTAAAACCCCGCATTTGAAAACATCCTGTAAGTTATATTGTATTGGATAACCGGAATCACATTATTTCCTTTGAGCATTGTCTTGCAAATATGACGAACAGTTTATTTTATGAATATATCTACAGTTAGAGGAATTTAAAAACTAAATAATAATAAATTTTGTGGCTTGTTTGGGTTTATTAACTATTATGAAGATTTTATCAATTGTGCAATATTGTTATAATTTATTGGAACATTACTTTGTGAAAATAAAAAAAAATGTAAATATTTAAAACTATTTACTCTATGTAAGTAAATACGTGATTGACTACGTGCAATCTGATCTCTGTATGAAATTGAAGATCATTAAAATAATAACTTAGTGCAAGTCGTTTTGTATATAGAGTTTGAAAAAATACGGTCAAAGATGCTAATTACTATACTGTAGATGGGTACTTTACTATAATATCTGAAATTTAACATATTGTATAATAATAACATAACTGTGAAGTGACTGTATTTTTTTGGACAGTGTACCATATGCTTTAGTTAGAATTAACTAGCATTGTATAAATTATTTGTTATGTAAGTATATTACTCTGTTGCAAAATGTAAAATAACAACGATACCAAATAAAAATTCAAAGCATACTTTTGTTTTCCTTGCTCACTGCCATTCAATGAAAAAATACTTCTTTACACAATAAAAACTGACTGTTAACTTTTCTACAAAAATTACATTTAAAACGATTTGCAGTTATCTGCACTCATGATCATTTGCCTACAATTGATTAAGAATAAACTAAACTATACCTAAACTTAGGAAAAATACTACCAATTATTTACTGTTGAAAATTTTCAGTTGTTCCTAATTGCAATTATAGATTAAAATTTTGTTAATATCTATGTTCAAGGTATCCAAAATCTTAACCATGAAAATTAAAAAATCGAAATCCGTAGCCTCATTGAATTCATATTGACCCTTACGAAATGCAATATGTTAAAGTTAAAAAAAATATGGTATTTGCAGATTCATCAAAATACAGATATCTTTAAAGAAGTAAGAAAATACGTGAAAAAACTGATTTAAAATGAATTGAGGCACAAAGTTGTCATTTTGAAAACATTTTGTAAGATCATTTGAATAAATTCTATACTGATCTAAACGTATCATCTTCATAAATTGTTAATTTATAAAAAAAAGGAATGGAAAAGTTATGCAAAAATTCAAGAAACTGCCATCAATTTGTAGGGAAATGTAATCAACACACCATATCTGCACCACTGGCTTGAATTGAGGTTTTATTAATGCATAATAGATACATACAAAATTTCATTTTAATATCTTCAAAT